GATCGACTCGATAATAACACAAAAAATTAAGTTTTCGGTCCACTTCATTCCAAAATTATTATCTGATCATCACCGAAAATTATAGGCGTTGTCCTTGACCATAATTGGAACCTCATGGAACATTTCAAAGCGATCAGCGCTATAGTTCCGCTCTCTAGAGTGATAATGGGTTACTAAATAATATACGAATACGGAGATACCTGTAAATATTTAGGTGTAACTCCCACATCCAAGCACATACAACAATATAATTGGTATTAATTTAAAGGTCAACAACTCCTCTTGGATATAATATAAACTTCTCGGGCCTATATCCTTCAGGGGTAAATATATACGCTATAGAATACAAATTTTGTAATTTTTCACACAATAGTCAGGGTCCATTTTAACCGCTAAATATTGACCGATCTTTATAAAAACATGGAAAATTTCACGATGTTTGGGCCATTATTGCGGCCTCTGGAGCGACCAGAAAAACCGACAAAAATTTAGTATTTGGTCCATTTCATCCCCTTAATATTAATCGATCTTTCCCAAAAACAATAGGGGTCTTCATTGGCCAGAACCCATCCTACATGCAAAATTTCGTGAAGATTGGTCCATAACTGTGGCCTGTATCGTGTTTACAAATTATAATGGACAGACGGACGGACGGACACACATGTCTAGATCGACTCAGCTAATCGAGATATGACAATCGGTATACTTAAAGGTGGGCCTAGGACCAATATTTCGCGGCGTTACAAACTTTTGGGGCTGCACAAAGCTATAATACCCTGACAACATAGTTGTGTAGGGTATAAAAATGCAAATATCTCCATATGAACAATTTATTTTCTCTTCAATTTCTAAAGAAAGTTCTGTCACGTGTTTAGGTTTTTCGAATTATACATTTAAAATGAAAATATTTACGTGGTATTTTGTTAATGATGGTCCACAGGCAGTTCATGTCGGCCATCCATTCAAAATCAGTTAAGTTAAACTAAGGAACTAAAAAAAAGTTGTGGGATGTGCCATAGGCCATCAACGGAACACGCTCCGACAAAAAAAAAAAAAAAAAAAAGGAAAAAAAAAAAAACATTTATGATTAATTGTATTTAATTATGGTTAATTACGGTAGTATTAAACAAATTTCTCTGGACTTTAGAAAATGTGTTCAAACACATGGTCATATGTCAATACAAAAAAAAAAAAAAATTAAAATTATTGTAAATGAGTATGATAAAAATGATATGTAAAATTGTATAGAAGTATTATGAAAATGGTTAATTGTTTAATTTCGAATTATTCCCAAATCACTTTAAACAACAAACACCTGATAAGCTCCCTTATTTATAAATTCAGATACTTTACATGTTTCATGTATTTTGTTTAATAATTAAGATAGCTCTCATTCTCTCTCTCTTTCACAAACCTTAAATATTCTCCGTTTGCCCCAACGATTAGCAGCATCGCTAATAATGGTTGAATGTCGACGTTTTCGATAGATTTTTTGCTTTTTCTGCAGATACAAAACCAGAAGCGTTAAATGAAACATTTGCATTTCGTTATTAAACTGCATTAATGGTGGGAAATTTTGGGTATTCTAAGACACTTAAAAAGGCATTTGTATTTTTTCACAATATGGTTTTTATTTTAATTTTTATTAATTTTTGGATAATTAGTATTTTTCTATTTTTTGGGAAAATTTCCAATTGACACGAGTAATAACTGCGAAATTATTAAAGAAACTAATTCTTTATCTTTAACTTAGAGATACATATCTCGTTGATCACTCTTCATCTGCTTGGGAGAGTAGCAGATTTAAGATGCGAATATTAAAAATTCTTATCTTTTGCTTGATAGAGATAAGAGAGATAGATACGGTTAGTATCTCAAATATTTTTTGTTTATTTCATTTTGGACAAAAAAATAATCATAATATAATATAACGAGGTTCAGATTGGAAAGTTAGGGTAAATATATCAATTTTCAAAATTTCGTGAAAAAAGAAGACCAGCTCCAGGTACATAAATAAAAGTTCTCTTTGTCATATTTATATAGAAATTCTTTATTGCATTTTCTATGGAAAATGTCCTTTGTTAATAGGAAACATGTCTATAGAAAATGAAGAGGGTAGTTTGTCCATAAAAAGCCTGAAGAGAGCCTGCTGCTTTGAGACATTTGAAACAAGTATTTATCTTCTGCTCCTAGAAGACCTTAAATAGTTCTGTCTTTCTATTGGGAACCTGGAAAATATATTCATTTTATAGAACACCTTTTTCTTTTTATAAAAGAACTGAAACCGATTTTAATCGGGGTTTCAATAGGCCAGACCTTTTATTACAGCTCTGGCCCAGGAGACCAGCCGAACGGCTTCTGGTTTTTGCCTCACTTATGCAGAGAACCCTTTTAGACCCTTTATACACAAAATATTTTCATGAGAATACCATCTTTAAATATGCTATATATAGAGAAAATCATATATATATATAGATAATATCATAGAAGTCCTATCTCGGGTCTCAGGTCAATTATAGTCAGAATACGGAAGTCAGGGCAAAAACCTGTATTCAGGTCACACTACAGATCTCTTTCTCAGGTTTTAGGTCAAACATCCAGGGCCATTGAGAATTGGGACAAATCCTCAGCACGACCTAGGAAAACAAACCCTCCGGTATCCTCAGGAGACCTGAAGATTTATTTCTATTGAAAAATAATCCACCTGAGGAATGTTTTTTTTTAAGTAGAACTGTGGATCCTCCGGAGAAAAAATTTCTCAGTACAACTGAGGATTGTTTTTCTATAGAAAAAATCCTCAGAACCACCGAGAATTGCTTTTCTATAGAAAAAAATTCTCAGTACCACCGAGGATTGTTTTTCTATAGAAAAAATTATTCAGTGTTGTTTTTCTATAGAAAAAAATTCTCAGTAGGGGAGACTGGGGCACCTTCGGCACTTTTTTTTTAGAGCTCTATATCTCAGTACTTATTCAACATATATAACAACTTTATGGCTGATTTTTGTCCTCTGACACTTATATGGTACTAATTATAAAAAATAGTACCAAAAAGATATAAAAAAATAGTATTAGTTAAAAAATTTTACAGTTTTTTAAAAAAAGTCAAATTCGCCGAATGTGCCCAACCCGGGGTAGCTTCGGCATTTGATGGGGCACATTCGGCACCATAGTCATAGCCGGGTAATTGTCATCGCTATCAGTCTGGTTGAAATTCTGATCCTCTAAAGGCTATATTAGGTTTTAATACGCCACACAATGTTTGAATTATATGGCTTTATTTTCGAGCGGCGGACGTTTACATCTCAAGGTCGCACACACCATCAGAAATAGGGGTTTTCTATCGCATTTTCGTCAATACAAGCACGTTTGATCTTATATATGCAATTTCGAACCATATTAAAGGATTAGTTTTAAAAACAAACTCAAAAACCTTTTACGGAAATAATATTGCACAATCTGTATATGGCCGAATGTGCCCCACTTTGAAATGCCGAATGTACCCCGAATGTACTTTTTATAGTTTTTCTCATTTTTTTCGATCAGATTTGTAAAAAGATTATATTTTTAAATATTTTTATAATAATACACATCGTAGTTAACCACTTTTTAATAATATTGTCTTAAACATTTTAAAAGTTTTATACACGAAATACTTGCGAAATGGAATTGAAAAATTACAGAAACATCTATAAAAATACAAAAACCTTTGTATCTAAATAAGCTTATTAGCTAGAAATTTCAAACTTTGTGTCAGTTATTTATTTCGATATTCGATACCTATGTATCGGAACTAGTGATGTACGGTGAGAACTTCATATCGAAAACGCGATTGCCGAAGGTGCCCCGATGCCGAAGGTGCCCCAGTCTCCCCTACCACCGAGGATTGTTTTTCTATAGAAAACATTATTCAGTGCCACCAAGGATTGTTTTTCTATAGAAAAAAAATCCTCAGGCCCACTGAGGATTCTTTTTCTATAGAAAAAAGATTCCTCAGGCCCACTGAGGATTCTTTTTCTATAGAAAAAAATTCCTCAGGCCCACTGAGGATTCTTTATCTATAGAAAAAAATTCCTCAGGCCCACTGAGGATTCTTTTTCTATAGAAAAAAATTCCTCAGGCCCACTGAGGATTCTTTTTCTATAGAAAAAAATTCCTCAGGCCCACTGAGGATTCTTGTTGTATAAAAAAAAATTCCTCAGTGCAACTGAGGATTCTTTTTCTATAGAAAGAAAAGAATTCCTCAGGCCCACTGAGTATTCTTTTTCTATAGAAAAAAATCCTCAGGCCCTCTGAGGACTCTTTTTCTATAGAAAAAAATCCTCAGGCCCTCTGAGGACTCTTTTTCTATAGAAAAAAATTCCTCAGGCCCACTGAGGATTCTTTTTCTATAGAAAAAAAATTCCTCAGGCCCACTGAGGATTATTTTTCTATAGAAAAAAATTCCCTAGGTCCACTGAGGATTCTCTTTCTATAGAAAAAAATGTTTCAGATTGCTTAATGTCCTAATTTATATAAAAAACAATTTAAAATTTCAAAAATTGCATTGCACACATTTCAAAATTATCTCCTTTACTACCGAATAATTGATGTTGTCAAAAGCCCTTAAAGACCCATTATATGAAATACCCCAACCATTTAGGAAGTCATAATTGAAGTCTTCCCATGGTCCCCTAGTTTGTCAAATGCAAAATATGTGTTTATTTGCCAACAAATTATTCACCAAAAAATGCAAATTGCTTAATTTATTGTTGTTGTTGCTGCTGCTTTTTTGCAAAAACACAACAATTCAAAATTTTATTTCAGCCATTATTTTCCAGAGAGCAAATAAAGAAATGCCACTTGATAGCATTTCGATGTTGCAATCATCATTCATTTTTATGGGGGCAGCAACAACTATAAAAGCGATTTACAACCCCTGAAAAATAGGGTAAACGAGGAAATTTGAATGGCCGCATAACAGATTGCAAAATATTTGTTGGCCAAAGAAACTGGTGCAGCAATGTGGCCAAGCACGGCCGTCATCAATTGGTCACCAATAGTAAATTTGATAGGTAAGTCTGTGGGAAAATTATAAAAAAATTAAATAATTTTTTTTTTTGTATTGTAGTCCAACTGTATTTCCAAAATACCACAATTTGTGTATTATGGCCTGAAAATGAGCTGTTGAATTTGGAAACCAAAATCTCAGAATATCCCTTTACCATAATCAATATACACCCACATCGATTAGATGTGGATGATGTGGCCAATGAGGTTCAAAAGTTCCGAGAAAAATTCTTGGAAACCAATAATCTCACCCTGATGCTCTCAGTGGCCATAGAAAAGTCACACTGTGAGGTAAGGTCCAAGATATGAATTTAAATTTTATATATAACTTCAGGTATTGCAGAGCTTCTTGGCCTTTGGAAATGATATACTAAAGTTCATTGAAAGTTTTGAAAATGCCAGTCGTTATTCGGTGTGGCGTTCGAAAATCAATCACTTTGTGTTTGCAAGCTCTAATCGGTCTCTCGAGGCTTGCTTGGAGAGGCTAAGATTTGTTGAAGGTGTGTAGAGGAATTCCACATTTTATATTTTCTTCCACTCTGAAATATCAATCCCAAACCTCTGATTTCTTTTTCAGATCAACCAAATATACTTATAATATCTAACGACGCAATCAATCCAGAAAATTTCGAATTGAAAACGAATAAATTTGTTGGACCCAGAGCAGATTGCCCTGGCAAGTTATACCTCCTGGATCGCTTCTTTGCAAACACCTCCTCCTTTGATTTCGGAGTGAATTTATTTCCCAATAAAATTGCCAACTTACAAGGTCGTGAAATAATTGTGCCGGGCATGGATTATCGACCCTATTTGGTTATTAATTACGTTCAGGATAAATATAATTCCTATGATTTGGTATTTGGCGGAGCCATGGAGGGCAATGTACAAATTGATGGCACCGAAGCCAGGGTCATTTTGACATTTTGTGAAATATTTAATTGCACGGTATTGATTGACAGCTGTAAGTATTTGGATACACGCGGTGAACTGTAATTATTTATCAATTAACACTTGGGAATGACTTCAGCGGAGGCCGATGATTGGGGAGAGGTATATTCAAATTTATCAGGGACTGGAAGTTTGGGAATGGTGGCCAAGGGAATGGCGGACATCACTGTGAGTGCAATGTATTCATGGTAAGTTTGTAAGTTTTGGAATAATTTCGCTACAAAATATTTTATGTGACAGATTAAATTATAGCAAATATTTAATATGCAATAGTTGTTCCGCAACAATGTTTATCCACAACACTTTCTTCAGCAACATGTTTCAGCAACATTTTTCTCATCCGAAAGTATTTTATCCGGAATACTTTCTCCACAAAAAATTTCTTTCGAAATCTTTTCGAAAATATTTATTACGCATTATTTGTGTCGGATACTCTATACGACAGATGTCTGTCCGCCAAAAATGTTTACCCGCAACATTGTATTAAGCAACACTTATTCACCTAAAAATAGTTTATCCAAAAATAGAATTGAATCCAGAATTTTTCTCATACAACAATTTTTTATACAATTTCTCCACAGAATATTATTGGAAATTTTTGGAATTACATGTTTATCCGCAACATTTTCTCCAAGAACATGTTTCGAAACAATTTCCCAACAAAAATATTTTATTTGGTGTTTTTTTTTCACAGACAAATCCGAATATTTTCTCCACAAAATTATTTTATCAATTTATTTTCCACAAAAGTATTCGAATAGATTATTTTTTAAAGAGAATATTTTATATGCAACATTTTCCAAAACGAAAATGTTTCTGCAACATTTTCTGCTAGCAAATATTCTTTTGCAATAATTTTTATATTACATTGCAACATATTATCAAAGAGTGTACCTTATCCCAACTACTTTCTTTAGGAAAATATTTTCTGCAAGATTTTATCCGTCAGTTTTTTCCTATGTGATACATTCAATTCGCAACAGTCTGAAAGAGGGCCTAGAAATTATTTTCTAAGAAAAAAACAATCCAAAATAATGCTAAAATAGGATTTCGATCCGCAATATTTAATAAATGTAAATATTTTATACCTTACTTACTTACTTAGCTAGCTTGTTACAGAACGGTTGTTCCATAAGCCGAGCTTAAAAAAGATTTCCAAGCGCGTCGGTCTTGTGCGCAAATCGACCAATTTGGAAGACCACGTTCCAAAATGTTGTTTTCTACTTGGTCTTTCCATCTAATTCGAGGCCTTTCCCTTCTACGAGAACCATCAGTATGCTCATTTTTATATGCCTTTTGAGCTGGGGAATTTTCATTCATCCGCACAACATGGCCTAGCCACCGTAGTCGCTGCAGCTCAATACGACTGACTATGTCGATGTCCGCGTATAAATTGTAAAGCTCGTGGTTCACTCGACGCCGATATTCACCGTCGACGCAGATCGGCCCGTAGATCTTTCGGAGAATTTTTCTCTCAAAAACCCCTATGAGCTGCCTCATCTGCTTGCATGCATGGGTACTTGACCCATGCTTCTG